GCAGCAGGTTTAAAGTAGCATTAAGCCTGCTCACTTTTGGCATGACTTCAGTTATCCAATGAAAATTCTGCTTATTTTTAAAATGACTGTTTGAGCCAACTATGTGAAGCAGACTAAAGCTACCCCACCTATATCACTCTTGGGTGCACATGGATCCCATTGATATCATTATAATGAGGCAGTACCGTACTGTGCAAGGTAATTGTATCAAACTCCTACTCATCTATGACATAGGATGGAGAAGAGGAAGCTGTGGTTCAGGTGAGAACACAAATTGAAGATAAGGCAAAAATTAGGAGACTCTCTTTGGTCAACAACTTTTACCAGCAATAGTGAGAGTTATTTTTACATTCTTGATCTATTCTTGGGGCCAAGTGGTCACTAAAAGGCAAGAGGGAAACTCCAGCTGCTGTTATGTCAACTCTGATTATGTTCCATATGCAGAAACATAAGGAAAGTTGGGTCAAGGGAATGATCACCAGTCTGAATCTCCTATTGGAGCTGTTGCTATGGGTTTACAAATCATTTCTAACTAACCTAGGCATTGATAGGCACTGGTCTGAGTCACCTATGGCCAAGAAAGGTGGTGAGATGTAAGCAGTAGATGAGGTTTGCTATAATGCAGTTATGCTATGTAACCAGCATTGTGAAAAGATCCAGTGATGCTTGATATTGCATCCTGTAGCTAAGGTCAATGTGGAGAACTTAGATGTCATAGATTTCACCCATGACATTGCATTTGTCAGGAGGCATTTATCTTCACACTTCTGGAAAGGAGCACTCTCAACCCACCCCCTCAAAAAAAATTAAAATGTCAATAGCATTTCAGCTGCACAAGAATAAAAAAACCGACAGTGGTGTCCTAAAACAGGTAAACCTACTAGTGTTGATGGAGTATTTTGACCATTTCCTCAAAACTTTCAAGCAAGCTAATGCTTGGAATAGATGAACTCAAGAGTAGATGGAGAATTTCATTCCTTGTTACAGTTGAAAGAATTTCAAATTTTATCTTTTTTATAACTGGTTCACAACTTCTAAGTAAGGACTCATGAAAACTCAGATTCTTCACTGGACAACTTATTAAAATAAAATAAAATGTGAAGGCATTCCCAGTAAGTCTCACAGTAATTATAATAAGATACTCATTGACAATTTTACCAAGGGGCTGCTCAAAGATCCCATGAGGCAGGGTTTCAGAGACATCACATCTTTAACAGAAGCAGTTTCTTTAGTGATAAAGTCCTCTTAAATCATACACAAATACAGAGAAATAGATCAGCACCAGTTGTGACAGCAGACATGGAATATGCTTCAAAGTAACCTCTATGGTTCGTGACAGACCCTGTGACTCAAAAACTGTCATCAACAACTCTACTGAGCAGATAATGCAAGGCATCATGGTGCAACCACAATGGTTCCATATGGGTTAACAGGCTATACTAGAATGATTGAACCACCTGGACAAAAGGGGTTGGGATCCGAAAGACATTACTTCAACTATAGCTTACTTTGTCATTGTTCATGTGAATGTCCATATTCTGTTGCAAGAAAGGATTATCATGTGCAGGTATCATTCTGCAACACTGCAACAGATACAAGAGTGTCAACAACAAGTTATTCCAGCATTTGCTCTCACTAATTTAAGTTAGTGGAGCTTAAGTAGGGTCTGGCCACAAACTCAGTTAGGCACAAATGTCAACATATAACAATCTCTTGGTAGTTAATTCAGAGAACCATAAAATTGGTGTCATGTGTTAGTCATGATATTTAGATGTGAGATTAGCTTCTCATGAATACTTGAGCAGCCAAAATCCTACTTCAGCTTGTTGTGTACTACATACTCTGTGGGAAACTATTACAACAACCAATTAATATAAACTTCACATTATCAACCAGTCACAAACTAGACAAATGAAGAGATGCATCATTATCTTCATCTTGCCAACTATGCAAGTGATGTTCTGTGGGATGCAACAATGCAATCTAGTGCAATTTCACTATCTGCTGCAGTTTCAGAACCAATGCACAAAATACAATTTTTATCTGGAACTGCTCAAACAGTTATATGTCTGAATGCTGGTATTGTACCACTGCTAGCTTGTAACTACAAGCACTCAGGTATTTAACTTTCAGCTATATTGGTCATCACTGTAGTAACAGAGGCAAAGAATATAAACAGCTAGTACTGCAGCCACTTCACAGCTTCTCAAGCACATGAAGTCCCTAGTTGAGGAGTGTCCTAAAACCCTGAACTTGACATTCAGTGAATTGTTCAAATAACTTGTTGATGTTTCTGTGGGGTAAGATGGCCAATTGGGTTGAACAAGAATCACAAACTCACCAAACAGAAAAAGCCAACATGCATTGATAAAACCACCACCATACAAATCCTTGAAACATCAGGGATGCTGCAAGTGCTGAAACTGAACATATACTGAAAGATGGTATGACACAACCTTTGAAGAGCACTTGGTTGCCTACAGAAAGGAATAAATGCCAAGGTTTTGTGTGGAGTTCAGGCAGGTGAACATAGAAACATACTGATGTCTTTCCATTACCAAGTAATGAATGTACACTGATTTTCAGATATACAGAGAAGTAGCTCAGAAAATACTTATGGTAGGTTGAGGAAAGACTAGTTAATTGGATTGTTAATTGAGTGAGTGAGAGAAAGCAAATGTTTTATTAATGTAGCATAATCAAATAGAGCATTAGTTACTAGTGTTTAGCCTCAGGGGTTCGTGTTTGGGCTTTTGCTTTGTCTCATTATAAAATTCTAGGTTGTATCTACAAAAATACTGAATAAACATCTAAAGAGGTTATAATTTCATTATACAAGTCACTAGGTAGGTCTCATTTAGGGTGTTGTGTTCAGTCTTGCACTCTTTACCTTTGGAAGACAATGAATTGTTGGAAAGGGATCAGAGGAGAGCTACTAGGATGATACCTTTGTTGAAAAGGTCACATTAGGACAAGTTAAGATCTCTGAAATTGATTTATCTTGAAAACAGAAGTGTTAGAGGGGATCTGACTAAGGTGTTTAAAAACTATAGTGTCTATGCCTCATCTTTTTTTTCCTACTTAATGGTGAGAATAACAGGACTAAGGAACACAAACATAAATTTTGACATGGTAAGGTAGGAGTCATCTTCAGCCAAGACAGTTTAGACTTTGGAATGGGTTGCTTTCAGATATGGTACATTAATGGAAATTTAATTCTCCATTAGTCACATGGGCAAAAATTGTAAATAATACAACAGATGACAGCAGAAAGGTACTTGTTGTTTTTAGTACCTTCCTACAACTCCTGACAGAGTGTGCACCCTAATTCTCTCATTTTTACCCCAAATGGAACTGGTGATATACATGTTTTGTATTACAAGTTGGGCCTCATCGGCCCTACAGTACTAACTTAAGGTACCTTTTCTGGATAACCTAATATTGTGTGTGTGTGTTTTTTGTGGTACAACTAGAGCATCTGTACCTCAGTTATGCCAAATATCAAAGATATTTAACTCAATATTTTCCTAACCTAATCTACTATGATTTAGGTTCCATTTTGGTGTCTAGAGGCAATTACAAAATGTTTTAAAGATATTTTTCCATTATTCCCTTTTTGGAAGTAACATATTTTGAAACGTGAACCCATATGCTATGGAATATCTTACATGATCTTCACTTTGCCTATTGACATCGTTACATTTACAAAAATCTAAAACTTTTATTTTTTTTGTACTTGTGTCTTAATTTACCCCATGGTACTCATAGGGTTCATTTTTCCTAGGGTACTAATGGAGGGTTAAGAGAAGGTTTGATAAATATTTTAATGATAATAACTTGCTTTGAGTTTTTTGTTTTTAAAGTTTAATTTAGTGGAAGAGACAGCTTAAATGGACAAACAAGTTGCTTATTGTCCTTAATTTTTATGATGTTTACATTAATGACATTACTGGGTTAATTTTAGTTTTGATACATGTAGGTAGCTTGCTTTGATCAAAAGTTAATGATAATATTGGTAAAAGCATAAGTAGTAAATGTTGTAGCTAACATTAAACTTTTGATGTTTCTAGCTGTATTGAGGATGTTGGGACATCAAAAACTTATTTGGAACAATTAGTAAGTTGGACAAAATCTTGGTAACTGAAATTTAATTTGATTATCATAATGTGGGATATACATTTAATATAGATGATAACCTATTCAATAGTGTGACTGTAGAAAAGAATCCTGGTATAGTAAGAGATAAATGACTCTAGCTACTGCTCTGTTTCTTGTAATAAAACTAACAGAATTTTAAGATGCATTTCTAGACATATTGATTACAGGTAAAAGAAGGTAATTATTTCATTTGGAGCACTGTGTGCAGTTACAGTCTCACTTGGAATACTGTGTACAGTTTTGTTCTATTTATCTAAGAATAATAACTGATTGGGAAAGGGTTCAGAAGACAAGTAAGATGGAAGAGTTGTCTTGTAGGAATAGGTTACTTTATCTTGAGAAAGTTTTCAAAGAGGTGATCTTATATAAGTCTACACGATTATCTTGGGGATTGATCAGATAAAGGATTATGGCTTTTTGTTGTACTATATGCTGAAGACAATAGGAGGAGAGGACATATGTTTAAGATTTGGAAAAGATCAGCTAGGCTGCAGTTAAGGTGGCTTAATTAGCTAAGTTAAGGAATGAGTTGGTGTTGGTATTAGTGAAGGTTGGCATCTTTAAGGGTTTGTCAGAGGAAGAAATGATTTTCTGAAAAATAAAATGTAGGTTGAAATTTTTACTTTTCATTTTCTCTGGGATGTTTTTGCAGGAATAGCCTGTAACTGGAAGGTCTAAATGGTCCTTTAAAGACTGTATGTAATGTTCAATTTCCATTGACATAAAACCATATGATAACAAGTTACACTGAAATAATTTCCTCAAATGATAAAGGATTTAACAAAATTATATAAAAATGCAACTATTAGTCATACTTTATTGGCTTTATTTTAGTTACTTACCATCCTTTAATTTCAATATAGACGACTGCAGGTGCTATTTTCTCCACAACATCTGCAATAAAATTAAAACCTTGTGTTGGAGATGTTGGTGGTGCTGAGACGACTTTCTTATTTCCAACACTGAGGTCAAAGTTCTGTGCAGCATTCACACAAGGTAGTGAATAACATTCATGGTTTACAATTTTCTCCAACGACAAAGGCATCTTAATTTTGTCGTTTCCCTCTTTCAGAAAACTGTAAATTCCCATGCTAAGACTCATTCCGACACAAAACCCAAGGCCAAGACTCATTGATTTCGTCCTTGTTAATTTTAATATTTGCTGTAGTTTACCCCTACCACATTGTGCATCTGAATCAAAGTTTGTTTTAGTTTTACAAACATTTCGAAATCCATTACTAAAAACACCACGTAACTCTTTGCTTGGATTATTTCCATGGACGAGAATACTGATTAATTTATTCCTTTTATAAAACAAACAGTTACCTGGCTTTTTACACAGAAAAGAACAAAGGTTTTTTAACTCTTGAACCATAATAAACATTATGAGAGAACCTAAAATATCACAGAAATTTAGAAAACAACTGTATCGTAAACACAGAAAGACAATGACTATAAGCACATATAAAATAAAATAAAGCTGATAGCGCAACCTATAGAACTGCAGTCTACATTCTAAAGATGCAAAAGCACGTAAATTAACACAGTAGTTCTGCGTTCGCTTTGCAGTGTCAGCGATTAGGGCATATTTTAAAGTATAACTGCATGTATTAATATGGATTTACGGTGATAAAATCCTGGGTTCGATTCTCCGCGATTCTTCGACTGGTTTATTTTTCTAATTTTTCATGAGGCCCGGCCTCCACAAATACCTAACTAGATAACCCTCTAAGACATGGCTAAGTTTTAACATCAAGCTGGAAGCAATAGTTCTATCAATACATCATCGATTATAAAATATACAAGTGTTTTATAATACTACTGTGTAAAAATAAATTATACTTCATTGTTATTTAAACTTTACATTAACTGTATATTTATTAATGCTATTTTAAGAAATAAACGTGCCTAATGAGAAGGATAATGCTATTTTTCACCACACAGCAACTTCAAATCAGGAGGAAAAGAAGTCAGTTTGATATTCAAATCTGGCTCGACATCTAATTTGTGTGTGAAATTATTTGTTTGGAAAAACTATTTTATTTTTCTTACTTATGAAAAAATCTATTGGCTTACTCGAGCATTCTGTATGCTGCGTCAGCGAGGTCACGTGACTAGTGTCACGTCACGTCCTTCTCTCGAACCTTCGTGAATTATCGGGAGACTACTAGATTGGGGGTAGGCTGGTATATACAAGATGGTCACAACGTGACGAGGTAATGAGTAATTGAACTGCAGTCAGAGGGTGTGTAATTGAACGGAGTCTTGTTGAAGCCGACCTACTCAGTTTTGAGAAGGGAAATGGTGAAGCTCTTGATGAAGTTACTACCACTGATGTGACTGTTATCGACGATAGAACATTTCCTGATGAAGCAGATGAACCCCACGTGAAGTAGAAGCCAACGAGGTGGAGACCAGTACAGAAGAAGGTACGTCCCGTACAATTAAGAGACTTTGTTGAAATGTTATTGTTAATTTTTATTGGTTTAATGTAAGTGGCTATTGTTCGGGATGAACAATACTAAGGAGGGGGCAGTGTTGCGTCAGCGAGGTCACGTGACTAGTATCATGGCATCTGTTTTCTAGAAATATCCTGTTCCTTCGTGAATGCCCTAGCATTTACCAGATTGGGGGTAGTTTGGTATATATAGGATGGTCACAACGTGACGGGACAATATGTGTAGGTAATGAGTAATTGAACTGCAGTCAGAGAGTGTGTAATTGAACAGAGTATTGTTGAAGTCGAGCTCGTGAGTTATAGCGTTTGTTATAGAGCGACTGTTGAAATTAAATGTATCGTAAAGTTGTATTCGGAAAGAATAAACCAGTTTCATTTAAGAAAGGACTTGTGTCGCTAAAGTTTCGTCGGAACGAAGTTACGGAAAATTAACTGACGACTGGAGGCGTAACAGTATTTACTTGCACCAGAAAACTATTGAAGTTCTTACCTTGATAGATTAAGTCCATGCACTAGAACGTATGTTCTACAAGAATAGATACATAACACATAAAAACACTTGTCAGAAAAGACAAAAAGCTCTGCAATAACAATTGAAATGTCACAGAACCAAACTTTCAACCTTACTATCTTACTCTGTTGTATTTTTAGGTAAATGGATAACCTTCAGGTAAGAAAAGTAATCAGTTTATCCAGAGGCTGATTAAATAATGCAGGATTAACTTGAATTCCTGACATGACTGACTTAAGAAATGAAACTGCACACATGTTTGCAGTAATATGAAATTACAGTTTATTTATTTAACACTTACGAGAAACAGACAAATTTAACTTAACCCACATTTGTACAGAACAATGAAAAGCACTTTTCTTTAGCTTTTGAGATGATCTGAAGAAAATATTTTCTATACTGAGAAAACCAACTGTTAGATACATATTAGTAGGGAGTTAATAATACACAGTGATGGTAAAGTGTGCAATAAGAAGGACAACACTGCTTGTTAGATCAATGGTGCATGTTTTGAGAATAGCAAGAATTGATGTAGGCCCCGTACTAACTAGGACATCGAAAAGTACATAAAGTATTTGCAAGATTGTTCTATACTTTTGAAAGTTGAAAGAATGTATCCCTGCAACGAAATGGAGGTAGGGTATATCATACACGGTAACTTTGATTTTCTGAAATGTAAACTTAATAATAATAGCATACACAGCTGTGTGCTGGGCAGTGTATAACCATGCAAGCATATTAGCGAGCTTGTGCATTCAAGCGAGTCTGATCCAAACTAAGGAAATAACAGACTCAATCAATCCTATTACTGATTACATTACAGAATACAATTGCCCCATACAGTATATCCTGAGGTATTAAATAATTAGAGGAAGAAACATAATTAAAGTTAATTTATCACAGAGGAGTATGATAACTATTAGTTTATGTATTATTGTCAACTACTAATGCATAATGCTTCTGAAGTAAAATAAAACGAAAAGCCTCGTGTGACATCAGGGATGTCACTGTGAAAGTGTTTATGTATTGCCAAACGATGGTGAAGATTTTGTCAATAAAGGCACAGCCCCAAAAGGTCCAGTGTAAATAAATCCCTTTAGTGTACATAATTTTGACTTTAATGACTAAACGTCAGAAACGTTGTTAGGCACCAACACATGGGCCCATGCCCTGAATCTCCAGTTGGTGTCTTGAAAAATCATAATAGAAAAACCATTTTGGATATCATACTGAAGCATGAAAAATTCCTGCTCCTATGTGCTCAAGCCCGAATATTTTAAGTACCTAGTGATGCCTCTGGTAAACATGCATATTCACGCCATTTGAAATATGTATAGAAAACTTGAGGGCAATGCCTTCAGGATTGACAAAGCCTTTGTGTGTACAGTTCTGTATTATAATATAAATTACACAGAGTGTTAATTGCCCAATGTACATTCGTCACCTATATCACTTGATTATCTTATAAGTAAAGACAGTAAACACATATCCTTCAAGTATTTCTAAAATTCTATATGAATGAGTGTAATAGAGAGTACATTCATAAATGATAAACAATTACTCAACAATAACTTTAATGAGAGAATTCAGAAACATTAATAAATGAAAGACCCATTATAATATGTGCATAGCACAAAAATAAAGTTATTTGTTATTCATTTGTGCTAAACGTATGTGCAAAACATTTTGGTAAACAAAAATGTCCACGTTTCTAAATTAAACTGTAAAAATCACTTGGCATACTTCACATACCACATAGTGAAAACTTTGAGGTTTTACCTTAATCAATAACCATTGCTATAGCTATCTTAGTCTGGTTTTTGGGGGGGAAAACTTTCCCAAAACTGTGATGTTGAATTACACCTTGTGTAAGAGTGAAGGTCTGACAAAACCATAGATTTGATATCTTCCACATTTTTGCACATTCAGTTGATACTGAGTTGGTGGAGAATTTTGTTCATCTCAAGTACAACCCATAGATCAGCATCGGGATACAGTGTGTGAATGTTGAAGAATTAGCCAAATGGAATCTAAATGACATCTGTGTTCACTGTCCATATGAGGATTGTCCTTGCACCTTCTAAAGAGCATATCTGATCTGAAGGCACATTCTGGAGTCTGCTTCCTCATGATCACACTGAGGCATAGTCTCACTGGACCCTCTCAACACAAAATACTGACTTAGAATAAATGCAACACAATGTTAGAACACGTGTATGATACTAACTCTGCAAAAACCAAATCCTGCAGAAGTCTTCATCATCACTTGCCTCTGGACTGGTATTAGCACCTTGTACACTTCTGCACGTGTTTCTGTATTTTGTGAGATAGCCAGAGTGATATTTTCCTTCAATGTCCACTAGGTCCTCTTCTGAAAATTTTGCCAGCAAAGCAGGATCTTGGGGTTCTGTAACCATAGTCCTCAAATTATTATTTAGTTTCATTGTTGAGCAATGGTGCAGTTTATCAGATGCAGCATTCCTGGTTTGGACTCCCACTGGCTTGGCATTTTGACTTTGCTGATTTTCACCACTAACCTCTTGCTTCTATTTCTTTTCCACATTTTCTCTGGCTCTTTGCAACTTAGAAGATGCAAAATTGAGATTGCAAGACTTGAACTATTTTTTTTGTGTACCATCTCTTTTAAAGTCTACATCAACAGGAAATGTACGCATTTCCTTGAACTCTTCTACAATTTGGCGGAAGATTGTGTACACTTCAAGCCTACTTTTCTGGTGAGTATCTGCAGGGCATCTAAGGTCTCCATCACCTTTCAAGCAAATGACATATACTTCTGAAATAAAGCAAATGTTTTTACTATCAAATGCATATGCAAGATATTAATAGCACAACTATTAACAGTTTAGTCTTCCTATTACGATCCCAACAGATGCGTAGCTAACTACTCTAAAGTAAATATCTACACAGTCTAACTACTGCTTAATAAAAATCTAATACTGAAACCACTTTGAAGCTTTAGACTTTATACATTTTAGGCCATACACATATATACATTTAGTGTTATGTTGACATGTTAATTGTACTTGTTTGGATAGATGATCACCAAATGGACAGATGGATGTCTAAGCATGTAGAATTCTTAACAGTATACCTGTTCATTGACAAAACATTTCCTACCTAGTAGAATAGAAAAAATGTTCTAATTCAAAGTTATATTTTGTTTGGTTCATAGCTTATATCATGTATACACGGCTTTCGAGTTTTGAATTCTATCAACTTTTGGACTTTACATATTAGATAAATTCATGACTGGTGATCATTTCTACTTTGAAAGGTATCCTTGGTCATATAAGACTCAAAAAGACCTATTTTAGAAAAATCGTACATTAAAATATAATCATTGCAGGGGTACATTTTAAAGCCCTGTTTTAAGCCATATTCAATGCCTTATGTATTTGACAGGAAATAACAGCCTTCCAGAATCCCAAGCAAGTAGCACCCTTCTGGTATTGATTGGTAGATCCAAAAGAGTGTTTGTGCAAAGTTGGGTGCTTTTGTTTAGCATGTAACGATTTTAAAAAAATGGACTTAAGAGACTTGACTATCAACAGATACTCAAATAAGGTTAGCTTCAGCTCTCTTAATACTAGGACTGGGCGTAATCTAGTGGTTAACGTGCCAGGTTGTGGACCTTAAGGCTCCATGATTTTTAATCCGTTACTGCAAGAAAAAATAATAAAATACACTCAACTTGTAGCGGGAATGAACTAGAACTTAAAAGAGAAATTGTT